AATGTCCTAATTATATTTCCTTTTAGGTGAAGGATGACTGAACTGTTGGTGATTGAAAACCAGCTGCCTTTCATTCAAAAATACATTTAAAATAAATCACCCAAAATATCTTCCTCCTTTGAATCAACCCTAACAGATGGTGATGGTGGTTAGCAATTTGCCAAGTCATCTAAATTCAGCCTTTAACTTCATACACAATTGGAGTTTCCTAACTCTTGCAATTTTAGTCTTTGTGATGGCAAGCACAAAAATGTCACTTCTTGTTGCAGAATATTGATTTTATAGTAAATTTGTTTTATTTATTTTAATTTTATTTATTTATTTTTATTTAAAATAATTTTACCCCACCTTTCTCTTTGAAAAGGACCCAAGGTGGCTTACAACATTGAGAGACAATATTTAAAGTTAAAAACCATGAGCATACAACAGTAGTTAACATCATTAAAAGATAATATTTAAAGCTAAGAACAATGAGTATAAAGAGACATCTTAAATAATTAAAAGGCAATATTAAAGCGAAGAACAAAATGTGTACAAATATTTTTTTAAAAAGGGGGGGGGAATGAAACCAAAAAACCAAATGTCACTCTGAGAAATGGAAAACCCAAAATAGAAAAAAATACACAAGTACCACTAAAAATCAAGTCAAAGCAGTAATGCTTTGCCTGCTTAAGGAAGGACAGCAAAGATGGGGCCAGCCTGGCCTCCAAAATCTGGGAGCAGCAGCAGAGAAGGCCCTCTCCCATGTCCCCATCAGATGCACCTGTGAAGGTGGCAAGACCAAGAGAAAAGCCTCTCCTGATAATCTTAACACCCAAACTGGCTCATAATGGGAGACAGTCTTTGAGATAGCTTGGACCCAGGCCATTTAGGGCTTTTAAAACCAGGACTTTGAATTGCGCCCAGAAGCTGATCAGCAGCTGGTGGAGTGGAACCAGCCCTAGTCAGCAATCTGGCTGCTGCATTTTAGACCCGCTGAAGTTTCCTGACACTTTCCATTGGCTGCCACACACAAAGCATGCTGCAGTAATCCAGCCGGAAAGTAACTAGAGTGTGTATGACAGTTATATTTTTAGTTACATTTCTGTCCCACCCATCTAGTGACTAGACACTACTCTGGATATCTAAAAATTATTTTAAAAAACACAACTACCCACCCCACCCAAAAAGAAATAAATAATGAAATCCAAACAATAACATCAATAACCCAAAATATAAAATAAACCTAGAGGCAATGGTGAATCCATAGCCGCCTAGAGTGGTCTTAACCGACTAGATAGGCGGGATATAAATAAAATAAATAAATAATAAATATCCAGTCCAGGGATCCACAAGGAGGTCAAAGGGGTAGAATGTTTTTGAAGGTCTCTTCAAACGCATGTTTTTTGGCTATTTCCTGAAAGCTAGAAGGGAGGGAGCCTGGTAATACAGTTGCATAACATTGCAGCCACCATTAAGAAGGCCTGGTTCCTAGTAAAGATAATAGTCCTCTTTTCTTCTGTTGTTTGGGGGGAAATGGTCCTTGATCTAGTTGTTAGTCCCAACTGGAACACAATCATTGAATCACTTACATAAACATATGTGTGGATTCACCTTTCAGTTGATTCAGTGGATCTACTCTTCTTAGGACTAACAATTTAATTTAGGCCATGGTCCTAAAATACCACTGAAGTGGATTATAAGGTCAGAATTTGCTGAACTTTAACTGTAGAACAGCTTTATGTGCTTTCAGATTATGAATGTTCAATTTGTCTGTATTCATAGCTCCCTTTGGTTTAGAAATATCCTTATTTATAAAATTTATTTTTACTGGTTGTTGTGGGTTTTTCGGGCTCTTTGGTCGTGTTTTTACTCTTTATTTGTTTACCTCTCGTTAGTGTATAAATAAATATTTATAGGACATTGTGCCAAATTAGGTCCAAAGTTAGTTTAACTTCCAAAGTTGAACTGCTTTGGTATCTTCATAAATTTATAGATTTTAGCTGAACAATTAACAGTTTCTTGTGTTCAGAGGGTAAGATCCAAAAGATGTATTTCCAAGAAGAAAATGGTTACAATGCCTAAGAAACACAGTTACATGTGGAATGTTGCTACAAAGTAAACGGAGCCCTAGTTTATCATGTGGAAGTAATTGAGTGCAAAATCTGTACTTTGAAAGTTAGCATAAGGGGCAATGCTTAATATTAGCCAGAAGTTAACCCTGTGATCTGGGTTATGTGTTATGTACCATCAGAAGTGCAAGATATAATGTCATTGAAATAAATAACAAATACTGTACTATATTTTCATTTTTCTATATATCAGTAGTGTACTCACTGTAAACTTGGGAGGAAGGACTTCAAAGCAGAACACATGTTTTCTAACTGTCTTTGGGCTGTTTCATATTTACACCTAGTAGGGTTGTCAGCAACTATGAGGAAAGTGGTGATGCAAAGTCAATTTTCTATGCACACATTTGTCCAATGCAATTCATGGCTTTTTGTATGTTGTATTAGTAACATGGAATTCACTGGTCTAAAGTTGGACTTGCCTGTAAACAGCAAGTGAGATCTATATATAAAACTATTGCAGATGGCATCTGGTCCCCACTAAAGTAAGTGTATGATGCTTTTGGTTTGGACGAAGAGATATATTTTCATCTATAAACTCCAGATGAAGCACATGGACAGTACATTTGGAATTATACTAGGAAAAAGAATTGGAATTCCAGGAATTGATGTAAATGTACTCAAGATGGGAGGTGCCCATGAAATTCCTCCTTTTTGTACTAGAATAGCAAATCACCTTTTTGTTGTTGTTTAGTCGTTTAGTCATGTCCGACTCTTCATGACCCCATGGACCAGAGCACGCCAGGCCCTCCTGTCTCCCACTGCCTCCTGGAGTTTGCTCAAATTCATGTTGGTCGCTTCAATGATGCTGTCTAACCATCTCGTCCTCTGTCATCCCCTTCTCCTCTTGCCTTCACACTTTCCCAACATCAGGGTCTTTTCTGGGGAGTCTTCTCTTCCCATGAGATGGCCAAAGCATTGGCGCCTCAGCTTCAGGATCTGTCCTTCCAGTGAGCACTCAGAGTTGATTTCCTTTAGAATGGATAGGTTTGTTTTCCTTGCAGTCCAGGGGACTCTCAAGAGTTTCCTCCAGCACCACAATTCAAAAGCATCAATTTTTCGGCAGTCAGCTTTATTTATGGTCCAGCTCTCGCTTCCATATATAACTACAGCAAAAACCGTAGCTTTGACTATGTGGACTTTTGTCAGCAAAGTGATGTCTTTGCTTTTTAAAATGCTGTCTAGGTTTGTCATCTCTTTCCTCCCAAGAAGCAGGCATCTTTGAAATTCGTGGCTGCTGTCACCATCTGCGGTGATCATGGAGCCCAAGAAAGTAAAATCTGTCACTGCCTCCATATCTTCCTCTTCTATTTGCTAGGAGGTGATGGGACCAGTGTCCATGATCTTAGTTTTTTTGATGTTGAGTTTCAGACCACTTTGCACTCTCCTCTTCACCCTCATTAAGAATTTCTTTAATTCCTCCTCACTTTCTGCCATCAGAGTGGTATCATCTGCATATCGGGGGTTGTCGATATTTCTCCTGGCAATCTTAATTTCGGTTTGGGATTCCTTCAGTCTGGCCTTTCGCACGATGTATTCTGCATATAAGTTAAATAAGCGGGGGGACAATATACAGCCTTGTCATACTCCTTTCCCAATTTTGAACCAATCAGTTGATCCATATCCAGTTCTAACTGTTGCTTCCTGTCCCACGTATAGGTTCACAGGAGATAGATAAGGTGATCAGGCACTCCCATATCTTTAAGGACTTGCCATAGTTTGCTGTGGTCCACACAGTCAAAGGCTTTTGCATAGTCAATGAAGCAGAAGTACAGTGGTGCCTCGCATAGCGACGATAATTGGTGCAGCAAAAATCACTGCAAAGCAATTTCGTCACTATGCGATATTAAACAGCCCATAGGAATGCATTGAAACCCCTTCAATGCGTTCCTGTGGGCTTCAGACTCACCTTTAAGTGAAAATCCTCCATACGGCGGCCATTTTCGCTGCCCGTTAAGCGAGGAATCCATCCCAGAAAACAGCAGGTGGCCATTTTTTTTACACGGTGGCCATTTTGGAACCGCCATTCAGCTGTTAAAAAATCATTGCTTTGCGATGATCGGTAAGCGAAACAGGGTACTGATCATCGCAAAGCGATTTTTCCCCATTTAAAACATCACAATGCGATCGCAAAAGCGATTGCAAAAAGTTCGTCGGTATGCAATTTCATCATTAAACGGGGCACCCGTTAAGCGAGGCACCGCTGTAGATGTTTTTCTGGAACTCTGTAGCTTTCTCCATTATCCAGCGCATGTTAGCAATTTGGTCTCTTGTTCCTCTGCCCCTTCAAAATCCAGCTTGTACTTCTGGGAGTTTTCAGTCCACATACTGACCTTAGCATATCACAAACAGCTTTTGCAGTTCTTCTGCACTGTAAAAAGCTTAGGTTTATTTCTCCAGTTGCAAAAGTGTGGGTGCCCAATATGCCCCTTTATGTGAGGAGTGATTTTGTGACCATCCAGAGTAGATTTTTGGGCACAAGCAGCTTCAAGGGAAGGGAACAACATGCAAGCCTCATGTTGCAGTCAAAGGTCAATTGATGTAGCACTGGACTGAGGCCAAAGCATGGATACTTTTAACTAGGTGCACCGTTATTTTGGATACTGGATTTTTAAAAGTTTTCACATTTCATTTTCAGTCCCGTGCATGCTTTCTTTTATGCGACTTCACATGTTTTATATCTGTGCAATTATGAGCAGTGAAAGTATTATCAACATGGATAATGCTAACATGAAGGAAAAAAATTAAATGGCCTATGTTGAAGTCTTTCTTGCTTGAAAACATACAGCTTTGACAAAGGAAACTGTATACTGTTGAAGTAGTAGTCGTATAAATAGTTATACAATGGCAACTTTCTGGTCCTTACACCCTCTTCATTTCTTCCCTGAACAGGTCAAGAACTCACAAAATTGATGTGAATAAAGATGGGCTTCCTAGAAGACCATTTCATTGTCGATGAATTACTGCAGATTTTTAAGCTAAGAAATGTTTGCTATGATGTCCTGCTAACACTTAAGGCACGGTCAGGAAGATGATGGAATCCTTTTTCTTCTAACCTCACTTATTCAACAAAAGTTTTGGAAATCCAAATAATGGCTGATCATTCTAGTATCTCAACTGTTGGAGGCAACTCAAGCATTTGGGACAGCTTGATATTTGCACATCCTGTCTGTGTAAACTGGAAGCCTGATGCAGAAGGATCTATCTATCATTTGGCTAGCATTTTGTTTATTATTGCCTTCATGGGTGGAAGTGGGGTTTTTGGCCTGCTCTACATCTTCTTTTTGCTTGGACTAGGTTTTCTGTGCTCATCCGTTTGGTCCTGGCTGGATGTTTGCGCAGCTGATATTTTCTCTTGGAATTTCATCTTGTTTGTGATATGCTTCATACAATTTATTTATGTCACCTACCAAATTCGAAGTGTTGCCTTTGACAAGGAGTTCCAGGAACTTTACAGTGCTTTGTTCCAGCCCCTGGGTATTTCACTGCCAGTTTTTCGGAAGATCGTCTTGTGCTGTGATGAAGAGGTCATAACCTTGGAGAAGGAGCATTGTTACGCCATGCAGGGCAAAACACCAATTGATAAACTCTCCTTGCTTCTCTCCGGAAGGTTTGTATTGTGGGTTTTTTTCTTACTCTGAATTCGAAAACAAAACAATTCACAGGAATGTCAAATCCACTGCTTTCCCTGTGGATTGTCTTCTTTTGTCAATTTATACTGAATAAAGCAGGACCAATACTTTACACTGTAAATCTGAGAGTAAAGCTTCTCTACTACCAAAGATGTAGCAATTGAAAAAAAGAGAGATAAGGTGTTTTAATTATCACTCATATTCTAGAAATCATGGAGGTGTCAAAAGACATAAACATTGGCACTTGTTGCAGGATTTCTCATCATGAAAGAAGCCGTTTCCTTTGGTTTCCTTTTCTTTGAAGAAAGATGACTTTATTTAAAATGTGCAGGATACTGAAAGCTCAGATAAAAAAATGAAGGTGTCTTGGATAGGGGTTCCATGGCTAGAACTACACCTTTGCAATAACCCAGGGGAAGTGTATTTATTGCATTTTAAGTTGCAAACACATGCAACCCGGCTTGTAACACATGCCCAAGTCACAACAACACTTTTTTCTTTGTCCCAGTCTGGTGTGGGTGAGTGTGCACACTCCCAGTGTAAGCATGTTGGGGACTGGGTGCAGTGTTTCAAAATGGCAGCATCATGCCTCATCACTGCCCTTTTTATTATTTTTAAGTGTTTTTGTGCATCTTTGGATCTGCAATTTTAATTAGGATGAAAAAAATCAAAGATACAGCAGTGGGGATGTAAAGGGCAGTCAAGGGAAGAGCAGAAGCTATGGTGAATGTGAAGATGGAGAAGGGGCAGACATGCAACCAACAGGAAAAAGGGGATGGTATTGTGCTGATTGAAACTGTGGTATAATAAATGGCAGAAAAGAGCAGATAAGGGACCATTTTGAACTGTTGCAGGGCTTGGCATCATGTGCAGTGACAGGAGCCACTGTGGATCCGATTTTTCTGTAGTGAGTATTTTCAGACCAGGTCTCAGGAAGGGATTATGATGTACTTGGCATTTTTCTTTTTCCTCTTAGGAAATTATTTTTCACACTATGCTCTGTGTCTGTAACTTAGGTGGCTCATCTTCCACCTTATGTCAAAATTTGTGTGTGATGAATCCCAGCTCAAGAGTGTATATACTCCCACTCCCAATCTATGCTTTCTGTTGTATCATGTGAAGTACAAATCTCATATGTATCTCTGTAACATTAACTGTTTTGAGCAGAAAATGTGGGTTTCAATTGTTCCAAGTTGGCTCAACACTTCCGCTCTTGTATCTGTCCCTGAAACAAGTTCAGATTGCTCCCTGTGAAGGCTTTGTACTTACTGCCCTGCTTTTAACAAAAGAAACTGACACGCTCAAATCATAACAATAACAAAATCACATTTACCATTTATTTTATCCTCTTTTCACTTATTTCTTCCATTTCTTTCCTGTTGTGTAGGGAAATCTACAGCCTGGACTTTTAAAGTTGTTTTCTTCTTCTTCTTCTTCTTCTTCTTCTTCTTCTTCTTCTTCTTCTTCTTCTTCTTCTTCTTCTTCTTCTTCTTCTTCTTCTTCTTCTTCTTCTTCTTCTTCTTCTTCTTA